TATATATATATATATATATATTTGTCTGCAGCCTCGCCCACCACTTTCTCCAAGAACTTAACCCGTCTCTCCAGGGTTGAGCGTCGAAGCAGGTGGCAAAACGCACTCGCTTCGGTTCCGCCAACGCCCTACGAGCGTGGTCGATCCCCAAACAGACCGGGCAAGCCTCGTAATGGTCCTTTTCGTGAAGCGAGAAGCCGCACCCCTGAGGACAGGGGCGAACTGAAGACTTCTGCTTCTTCTTGAGTAATTTTGTGCTCATCCCYAACCACAAAATTCTCTCTTTCGTCGAGGTAAGAAAGGTTTCTCAAAGTTAGCGCTCCGCGGGCAGACACAGTTACCAGTAGGCAGCTGCAGCTGACACCAACAAAAACTGTTAAACTAAATCCGAGAACTTTCGAACAAACAAAGCTAATTGGCAGCAGCTAACTAGCTAGGTTGGAAGAGGTGGGCGTTCTTGCGAGGTGAAGAGCAATAGAACTAAGGAGTYACTGTGATGGCGACAGTATATATATGTGCAGGCGGAGCCTGACATCTGTCGTCATCACGTCAACTGCCTAAAGGCGTGATTTGATGTGGCTTCAGCCAGGACACGCAGGGGCGTGGTTTCCCATACAWGATGTGTTGTACCTAGTYAACTGACTGAAAGGGAATCAGGTATGCTCAGATGTTTTTTAAGACTTTTCATAATAGAAATCAGAAATATATGATGTTTGGGATGCAAACAGCTTTTGTTTTATTGCATCTTCTAAAAATAAAAACAATAATTTAAACAAAAGTTTGACATGTAATACACTAAACAAAAATAATAAAGTTTTACCTCCAGTGTCACAGGATCATCTCCTCCACCACTCTGCGTGCTGATTGGTCCATTTCCTCCTGGACCAATGAGAGGCAGCGACGAGCTAGAGCCTGCTGCTCGGGGTCTTCCTGAACCATCAACTCCCCATAAAGATACACACCCATAGCCTGAAACACACACACCCACAATCCATCCCAAATCAACACTTTTATTCACGTCTGAAACTTTAATTGTGGAACTTAAGACGAACAATTTATTGACCTGGTCATTAACCAGAAAGTGTTCGACGGCTCCATAAGCCTGAGAGTAGGCGTGCTTTATCACCAGCTCACACCAGCGATGTCGGACCTGGAAACCAAACAGAGGAAAATACGAGCATGAATGAAACGTATTTCAAGATTTCAACATTTAACACAAAAACCACCAAGTACACTTTCAGAAATGAAATGTTGGATTTACTTAATTATGTCAACTGTGTATGTCAACTATGTCATCTTATGTCAACTGGTTCCACTTAACTGAGTTGAGTAATTTCAAAGCAATATACACAATGTCTAACCAAAGAACATGAATAGGTTGCTTTGAATTTCCTGAAGTCAGTTAAGTGGAACSAYTTGACACAACATGGTTAAGTAAATCCAACATCTGTTTTTTAGAGTGTATACGCCTTTATATGGTCATAACCTTACATTTTTTTTCAAAGCTGACAGAACAGACACGTAAAATCTTTACCTACTATGATTTATCCTTTAAAGCAAATTTAGATAAATAATTATCCATCCATCCATCCATTTTCTGTACA